TGATAATATAATTATGGATTTTCTACTACTAAAGAAATTTCTGAGCTCCCATTTAAACATGAGGAAATTTGAAGTCATATAGAGGCATCCATTTTTAAATCTAATAGTTGTGGTTTAGTTTTGCATTTCTGCTTTATTACATTTTAACAGATTTTGAACTGTGGATTTATGTCTTATTAAGCAGAGTAACAAAGGAGCTGGCATTTCATTTTTTTAAAAATCTAAAAATCTTTTCTGTTAAGATATGTTGTGATTGGAGTGATTACAAGATGTTAAAAGTCTATGGGAGCTTTTGCTGTAGGAGGGAAAGGGAGAAATGGAGTGTGAGTGTACAGGCACCCTCCTGATCAGACGTATGCATCAGACTATCAAGGAAGCACACTGCTTGTTGCAGTTAGATTCATATCATAGTTTTGGGTTTTTGTTTTGTTTCGTTTTTTTTTTTGAGACAGAGTCTTGCTATGTCGCCTAGGCTAGAGTGCAGTGGCACGTTCTCGGTTCACTGCAACCTCTGCCTCCCAAGTTCAAGTGATTCGCCTGCCTCAGACTGAGTAACTGGACTACAGGCATGCACCACCACACCTGGCTAATGTTTTGTATTTTTTTTTTTTTTTTTTAGTAGAGATGGGGTTTCACCACGTTGACCAGGCTGATCTTGAACTCCTGACCTCAAATGATCAGGAGTTGAGCGGCCACCTCAGCCTCCCAAAGTGCTGGGATTATCAGCGTGAGCCACTGCACCCAGCCCATATAATAGTTTTAATGCAAATATTTAGTGTTATTAAACCAATCAGAAAGTATCTGTTGGACATCGACCGTGGATAAAACCTGCGTGAGGTACGAAAATGAATGTCAAGACCCAGGCTTATATGCAAGGTATTTATAATCTAGTATATAAGAAGGGATATTATACATTATACACTTTTTTTTTTTTTTTTGAGACAGGGTCTCTCTCTGTTGTCCAGGCTGGAGTGCAGTGGTGTGGTCATAGCTAACTGCAGCCTTGAATTACTGAGCTCAACTGATCCTCCCACCTCAGTTTCCTGAGTAGCTGGACTGCAGGCACATGCGACCACTCCCTGGCTAATTTTCTCATCTTTTTGTAGAGAAGAGGTCTTGCTATGTTGCCCAGGCCAGTCTTTAAATCCTGCCTCAAGTAGTTCTCTCACCTTGGCCTCTCAAAGCACTGCAATTATAAGCATTATCTATAGGTGTTTTTATAGTGCTTGCATAAGTAATCTTTTAGTTCTCTGTTAAAAAGAGAAAGTGGCTTTTAAGGCAGTTTATGGGAAAAGAGAACTCATGATCATACTGTGGCCATGTCAGTTAAGTTTTAAGCTCAAAATATGTTCTTCTTGGAAAAAGGAATTTATTTTCTTTTTCTGGTTGTATCTTGATACTATCAATTTAGCATGTGCCACAGAGAATTCAAGTTGTAGGTATGTTGCAATTTTTATTTCTCAGGAGAGAGTGAATTTCAGATATTTTTTGAAGGAGTTTTAAGGATTATATACATATATACATAAGAATGTCATAAGAAGGCCATGCCATGGTGTTTTTCTCACACTTGTCAGTGAAATGTATGGATACCATATATTAAAAATAATGGCAAAAACCGCAATTACTTTTGCACCAACCTAATGCAAAGGTACATTTAAAACTGCTGAAGCCAAAGGACCAGCCAAGAGTTTATCAGATTTTAGGGATCTATTAATGTTTTCTTCACCGAATTCCAGGACCAGGAAAAGGAAAGGAATTGGGGTAACCCCTTGTAATTTTGTGTATCAAGATTTGACCTGTATTCCAGGGATCTTGATTTTTATTTCTAATAAAAGAAAAATGTTTTCTTCATGAACCCACAGAATCATATTGATTCTGTAGCATTGTTCTCCTTTTTCAAATGAAGAATATTAGTGTCAGAAGTCAAAATTGAGCTGCTTTTGTCCTCAGGTTGAACTTTTTTAGCTTGAATATGCCTAGAAATTCAATGCAAGAGTTTCAAGGGTATATGGCCGCTCATGATCATTTTTTTCCCATTGTATTAAAGCAAGGATATGTCACTAATCTGCATCCCACTTCCCCATGTCATCTATACATTAAGTCCTACATTTGGCTGTTGTGGGTAACCATCCCTCGCTTGCTGTGGGTAAAATTTTGCAAGGTTGCAGAGTAAGACCTGTCAGCTGACACTGGCTCACATGAGAGCCATTAAGAGGGTGGTGTGGCCAATGTCAGAACAACCTTGCAGCTGAAGGCAAGTCGCTGCATTGCCTAGAGCCATATGAATAGGTCTTGTGACCAATTAATTGACTACTACATAATCTCCAGCTAGGGAGCACAGATGGAGTGAGTCAGTCCAAGCTGCTCAACCTGTTAAGTGTCTTGTCTTTGCTAACTGGAGTATAAGCTTAGGAACAAAAGTAGGACTTGTCTATGTTTGTAATAGGATGGCAGACAGCACGTTTTATAATGTAATAGATGGATCTGACTTCCTAAATTATTGGCGGGGTTAATTTACATAACAAATGAATGTTCCACCTTTTTTTTTTTTTTAACTTTCGAAAGGGGAAATTAGTATGCTGCTGCCAACTAGCTTTTCTCACATACTGTATAGCAGTGTAATGATTGTTTAGAACTGCTGGTCACTACGGAATATTCCTCATATAACAAAGGAACTTCAGGATTTGTGTCCAAGTCCATGTTGGTGGTTGAGATAAACCAGAAGAACATTAAACCGCTCAGGAGATGTGTGGCGGCGCAGGGAAGACCACAAACCAGCCCGGGAGCCGGCAAGACTCAGCCAGATGTGTGAGTGATGCTGTTCCCGGTGCTGGGAAGATTTACAGGGCGCTTTTATGCTCAAAGATTAAGAAACACGCCGGGGTAGACAGGACCACTGACCACACGGAACTCAACAACAGGTTTGAAACTTTAGTTCTGTTTCAAAATCTCAGATAATTTTTTATTTAATTCAATGTGTACTAAGGAGATGGAGTTCTGTTGATCTGAAAGTTGTTGTTTCTTGTAAGTGCTTTTAAGTAGGAGAAATGGGGGTACTGGTGGGTGTGCAGAGACAAGTCCTTTCTTTTATAGAAAAGATATAAGCATGGGTAGTTTTTAGTGACTGTTGTGATTCCACTCCCCACCTGTTTTCTTCATTTCATTACCTCTGCTGGAGCCAACTTGTAAGAAATGTTTACATCTTTGTCTCTTGAAGCTTGGATGATACTGTTCACAGTAATTATCAGGGAAAAAAGGTGCCATCCTGAAGTATCAGCACAGTTAGTAGATGGAGCACAGGCCTGGGAGTTCTCACTTCATAGTCTGCATGGCCAGCAGATGGATATGCTTTTCCAGCTGGAGGCAGGGTGGTGGGGGAGACCCAGTCTTCCTCTGGAAAACCTTCTCCATGAGAAGGATGCATTATGAACAGCAAATTTTAATAATGGAACTTGTCTAAAAAGAAAAACATACCTGCAATATTCTTTTTGGCTTATTATTAAGTCCACTTTGGAATAATTTATTTATTTTGTTATTAGTGGTACTTCGTTGAAACAGTATTTGTAAAGAATTTTATTGCATATCAGTAAAAACAAAAAACTCTTTTGAGAATTGCATTTCATTCCAAATTCTTCCATAGACAGTAAGGAGAGCCAAAAGTTAATGATTAGTGTAAAAGAGTTTATAAGTCCATTTAACCTGGGCATGGTGGCTCAACCCTGTAATCCAAACACTTTGGGAAAATGAGGTGGGAGGATCACTTGAGCCTAGGAGTTCAAGACCAGCCAGGGCAACATAGCAAGACCCCATCTCTAAAAAAATAAAATAAAATAAAACTAATTAGCAGGTCACAGAGGTGTGGAGCTGTGGAGCCAGCTACTTGGGAAGCTGAGGTGGGAGATTGTTTGAGCCCAGGAGTTGTAGGCTGCAATAAATTGTGATTTCACCCCTGTACTCCAGCCTGGGCAACTGAGCAAGACCCTGTCTTTTAAAAATAATAATAATAAAATAAATTCACTTAAAATGTTTTTTTTCTTACAGAAAATTTCTCAAAATTAACATGTCTCATCATCTGTTTATCTCATAAGTATGTTTCTTGGTTTGGTTAAAATAATCAGAATACAGCTTTTGTTCTGTAAAAATCTTTGTCATTTTTAAAAATAGAAACTTAATAAAACAGGACAGCAGAGTAAGATCTCCATCTCAAAAAAAGAAAAAAGAAACATAATAAAATGGATGTTGTCTACTAAAGTGTAGGAGCACAGTAGATTGGGGAGTGAGAGAGAAGTGGGGAAGTTACTTTACAAGTGTTAGGTCACATGCTCTTCATTCAGTTAAAGAGATCTATTTGTAGAGGAGGAGGTAATGATATGGTACATTAGAAAAATAGCTAGAATGTTCAGATAATAATTTCACTTTTATACTATCTGTTTTTATCTGTTTCTTATCAAGAAAGGGTGGCTGAGTGATAGGAGAGAGTAATGGAGTGACACTCAAGTTGATCTGAATCCTGATCCCTAAGCTCTGCTGCCCAGGAGCCTGCAACCCTGGGCCAGTCTCCAGGCTTCTCTGAGTCTCGCTCTCAACTGTTAAACTATGTAATTGACTCAGATTACTTTAAAAATTCTTTCTTCTTCTGAGATTCTTAGATGTAATAGGGCCTTCTGTATTCCCTATTTTTGTTATTCCATACAATTCTAGATCCCCAGATAGCTATTTAGGATGAAAGGTAGGGAGTGTATGTCCATGTAAGAAAATAATATGCAAGGCCAGTTTTTGGAAACCTCTAAAATTTTTTATTTGAACTGCTGCTTCTCACCTTCAGTGTGCTTGCTATTCTTTGGTAAGATTTTAATCATTTTATTTAAGCAATGGTTTAAACTTTGACATTTTCATGCTTATTATCCTCTTTCCTTGTTTTACCTTCCTTTAGATTTACTTCTCTAGTGCTGAGAATTTTTTTTTAGCACTTTGTAAAATAATGGCATATATTTGTCAATTAATTGGAATTCATCTCTAGTCAAACAACATGGTGTGGTAGACATCATCCGCTTTCTCTTCTTACTATGATCTTGGAAACACTGCTTACTTGCAGTATTGCGCTTGATTTCCAGAATTTCTTAAGGACTTAGGCCAACTTGAGGGTAGAAGTGAATTACTGACAGGTGCTTGCACTGAAGGACCTGGCTCCAGAGTGCTCACAAGTTATCTGTTTGTCCAAGTCATGTGACAGTCAGGTAGCTAGGACTTTCAATCCCTTCTTGTTCTTTGATATCTTAAATCAGTAGTTCCAGGCGGTCTTCTTAGTTCACCACACTGACAAGCAGGGTTTTTTTTTTTTCTTCTCATGATTTTCTAGTAACTGAAAAGATGAAGAGAACGATTCCACAATTACAGTAGAATTATGTTGTATATGTGATGATGGCCATAGTGTAAAACAGACAGAAACAATGCAGAAAGAAACATGTTGGTCATCTCATTGTGGCTCATGTAGCATGACACATTTCAGGATAGGAATTGTCCTGGGCATCTCCGTTTTCATTCCCCCTAAACTCTATAAAGGTGGATGTTGGGGTTCAATTCATTTCATAAAATTCTAGAGTCAACAAAAAACTACAGAGTTTGATGAGAGGTATCTTAAATGGCTTGTAAGTAAAAATACCTTGCTGAAACTCCCTTCAAATCTAGTGCCTCTTGGCTGGGCACGGTGGCTCATGTCTGTAATACCAGCACTTTGGGAAGCCAAGCCAGGCAGATCACTTGAGGTCAGGAGTTCAAGACCAGCCTGATCAATATGGTAAAACCATATCTATGCCACATCTATGCCTGGCTAATTTTGGTATTTTTACTAAAATTAGCCAGGCATAGTAGCAGGCACCTTTAATCCCAGCTACTTGGGACACTGAAGCAGGAGAATCACTTGAATCTGGGAAGTGGAGGTTGCAGTGAACTGAGATCATACCACCGCACCCCAGCCTGGGCAACAGAGCAAGACTCCATCTCAGAAAAAAAGAAAATCTACTGACTCTTAAATATGATGCCAGGTATATAGTATCATCTTCAAACAATTGCTTCTAATCCTCTTTCTTAAAATATTGACTATAGCAACTTTTGAGTTTTTGAAACTTTCCCAGCAAATTAGCAAACAATCCATAGGGCTGTTTATATGAGAAATCTGGGACTTGCCACACATATCTGTGGATCATTGTTGCTCTGGTGACAAAAGAAAACCTGCTGTGTCTTTAAAGTATACCCCTTGTACACTGAAGAGGAACTGAAACAGAGCACTTCAGAGTCAATCGTGCTTTACAGTTTCAGATCTTGAAATTTCGATTCAGAAGAAATTCTCTATACTGCTTTAGAATCGCCAGGATAGAAGAAGCAGAAGGATTAATGAGTATAGACATTGATTTTATGCACATTTTAGATGAGGTAATTCTACTAAAAAAGGGAAATCCTTAGACTGTCTATGGTAGTTACTTAATAAGAAAGTAAGGAAAGAAGAAACCTGGATGCATTTTCCCCTGGTGAGCTGCTTCACATAGATAAACTGACCATGATTTTATGACCACTCTTTTTATTTATAGCAGTTGGGATTACTGACTAGGAAATATAAAAATAGTCACAGATTTAGAGAGAGATATGCTAAGGCAACCCACCAAAGAATTCTGAAGAGTATAATAAAAGGTCATTAAAAGAAAGTGTAATGCAGGCTTTGTAGGAGTGGAAAGAATGTTTCTCACTGTGTGCTGTACCTAGAAACAATGTGAAAATCACTCTACCCTGATACTACTTAATAGAAAATGTAGCTGTTGGACAGGTCAAATGAAGTGGGTAGAGAAAAAAAACAAACTCTAGTCAGCTGACGGTCTTGTGCTTTGTGACAAGCTTCATTGAGAGGTCATAAATGGTTGGGTGTGACTCTTTCTGATGCATTGGGTATTGCTGTCACACGTTCTTCTGAGCTTCCTGCATTCCTTCCTTTTTTACTTTTATGTACCATGAGAATTTTTCTTTGACTAGTTAGAATAGTTTATTTCTGCTGGCCAGTGGTAGGGATTTTGAGATGATTCCAGACCGGTAAGATTGAATGAGTCAAGGAATGCAGTGTCATGTCTGATTTAGGGTTCAAGAACATTTGTCTTTTCCCTCTGAGGATACATCACTTACAAGGAATAAATCAGCAATCTTAATATAGGAGATTTTCATAGATGCTAACAACTGACATCAGCGTTTGTCTGGGTCATATTTGGATCAGCGTTGGTGATATAACAGAGTAAAGCACTTGTTATTAGTCACCATAGCGAACTGCATCCAGAATGACGGTGTTCCAGGCAGGAGATGAGGTTAATCCAGCTCTGGAGTCTGCAGGCCAGTCACTGATTGGGCAGCTGCTGAAGGCTTTTTTCCTCAAGTTCTGCTCAGCTCTATGCTGAACTGGAATGCTGGCTGAACTGGTCCTCCAACATCCCTGGTTCTCCTGTTATGACTCCTGTGGTGAGTCAGGCTCTGGCTTAGCCTTATCCTTTTATTGTTATAGCGACAAAAGCTGAATAATTGCTGAACAGTGAGGTAGCAAGCCCTGGTGGGAATTGGCGAGAGCAATAACTTGTGACCCATCTAAGATTATAACTGTCAAAAGTCACCAAAGGGAATCCAGCCTGTGGGTTCTAAAAACACCAAGGTTCCTGGGAATTTTCTTTCCTTTTATGAGTTCCCATGGGGATATTTAGGTATCAGGTGTACATCCATCTGTGAGCCTTATGTCTTTAAGGGTTTAAGAAAGGTTTTTTAGGCCAGATGCAATGGCTCATGCCTGTAATTATAGCACTTTGGGAGGCCGAGCCACGTGGATCATGAGGTCAGGAGATTGAGACCAACCTGATCAACCTGGTGAAACCCTGTCTCTACTAAAAATACAAAAATTAGCTGGGCATGGTGCCACGCTCCTGTAATCCGAGCTACTCAGGAGGGTGAGGCAGGAGAATTGCTTGAACCCAGGAGGCTGAGGTTGCAGTGATTGTGCCACGGCACTCCAGCTTGGGCAACAGAACGAGACTCCATTGCAAAAAAAAAAAAAAAAAAAAGGTTTTTAAAAATACTACTTTAGGTTTTACAGAACAGATGTGAATGAAAATCCTTTTTTCTCACTATGCCATATCCTTTCACTTTCATGCCTCACCCTGTCCAAAGGCAAAAAAAGGAACTTAGTTGAGTTAAGCTGTTTTCCCACTTACTAATTTTCAGCTCTCTAGCACATGAGAAACTAGACTTAATACCAGATAAAATGGAAGGACCTTTGACATGGCGATCTTCTCTACCCTGATTTTATGATCTGAGGGTCTTCTCTGCCTTGAAATCACTGTCTTTGGGAACATCATCTCATCTTTCTGTTTTTGTTTTCTAAAAAAGAAAGAGAGAGAGAGAGAAAGAAGGAAGAAAGATAGTAGAATGGAATGGTGTTTCTTTTTTTATTTTTTCTGATATGAGCATATATTATGAGTCTATTCAAGCGCAGTTTTGAAGTTAGCAAACATTTAAATCCTCACATCTCTACAACGTAGGTCAAAGAAGTATGATTCTTCTCAGCTGTATGAGAGAAATGGCTATAGAGAGGTAACGTGTCTAGTCATAGTTAAGACAACAGTGGGGGGACACTGCTTTGGTCTCAGCTTCAGATTCACTGAACTGGATTCCTGGAGGTAGAGCTTATGAAGCTTTGTTGATTTCACACACACACACACACACACACACACAGCTTCTGGGGTATTTCTCATGATGAGCCAAACAACTTGGGAACCAGTGGACAGGAAGTGGTGTCTAAAGTCCTTTCCAGCTAATAGTCTGATAATCTGTCAGTGATCCATAAGTCCCGAAGTTAGAGAAATGTAAAGACTTGGCCTTGGGTAATCAAGGGAGTCAGAACTAGCTCAGTGGTAATCTTTTTCCACGTGAGTGAACAAGCCATGTGGGTGTTTGAGGAAGTACATTTTCAACAGAGGGAACAGGAAGTACAAAGATCTTAAGGCAGGAACATGCCTGGTGTGCATCCTAAAAATAAGGATATTGCCTCAGGGCAAAGATGATTTGGATTCAGAAAGTACATGATTCTTTGTGGGAATGTGAATGGGGTGGAGGCGTGCTGGTGGATGGTCTGGCAGCTGCATGCTGTGATAGGAGAGGGAGGCAGAGGTCACCTGCCCGTAATATCTTTCTCACTGGACCCTGCTTGATGGCAAAAACTCCTATTATTAAATTATCATTTCTTTGTATTTAAGCATTGTTCTCTATAGGCAGTCACTAATACCTCACTGTGAACTATTTTAGGGGAACATTCCCCTCCGTCAGTAGGAGCAAGACCACATGTGATGGTTGGATGCATTCTGTAGAGCAGTATGTGAGGACTGACCCGCCTTTTCCCAGCCAGGTGGATAGAACAAGGAGGAGATGGCCTGTAATTCTGCTGAGCAGAGACAGACTTTTGATAGCTACATCTGAAGCTCAAGTTGTATGTCCTTGGTTCTCATCTTTACAGGAGAAAAAAATATCTTTAACAGACAAAAAATATCTTCAGAAAATAATCCTGTCACAAAATTTTAAACTAGTACTTATTCCTGAAAGGTAATATATTTTTAAAGTTCCTTTGACAACTGAAATTAAAATAATTTTTTTCCTTTTAAATATTTTTTAGAGCAATTTTAGGTTCACAGCAAAATTGAGCAGAAATTACAGAATTCCCATATATACCTTACCTCCACAGTATCGCCATCCCATGCCACAGTGATATATGTGTTACCATTGAGAAATCTGTATTGACACATCATTGTCACCCAAAGTCCATAGTTGGCATTAGGGTTCATTCTTAGTGTTGTATATTCTATAGGTTTTGACAAAAGTATAATGACACGTATCCATTATTCATACTAGATAGTTTCACTGCCTTAGAAATCCTCTGCACCTCGCCTATTTATCCCTCCATCTCCTCTAACCCCAGGCAACCGCTTGTCTTTTTACTGTCTCCATAGTTTTGCCTTTTCCATAATGTCGTTTGATTAGAATCATACAGTATGTAGCCTTTTCAGATTGGCTTCTTTCAGTTAGAAATATACATTCAAGGTCTCTTCATGTCTTTTCATAACTTGATAGTTTATTTCTTTTTTAGCACTGAATAATATTCCATTGACCATCTCTTTGCATACTGAAGGACATCTTGGTTGCTTCCACGTTTTGGCAATTACGAATCAAGCTCCTGTACATAGCGGCAGGCTTTTCAACTCATTTGGATAAATAACAAGGAGTCCCATTGCTGGATTGTAAGGTAGAAGTGTGTTTAGTTTCGTAAGAAACTGCCGAACTCTTCCAAAACAATAGCACCGCCACCAGTGGATGAGAGTTTCTGTTGCTCCACATCCTCACCAGCGTTTGGCATTGTCAGTGTTCCGGACTTTGGCCATTCTAATAGGCATGTAGTAGTATCTCTTGTTATCTAAATTTGTGTTTCTAATGACAAACAATGTGGATCAACTTTTCACATGCTTATTTGCCATTTATATTATCTTTGGTGAGGTGTCTATTCATATCTTCGGCCAGGTGTCTATTAATATCTTCGGCCATTTTTTCATCAAGAGGTTTGATTTCTTACTGAGTTTTAAGTGTTCTTTATTTTGGATAAAATAGTTGTCTATCAGATATATTTTTTGGACTATTTTGTCTCAGTCTGTGGCTTGTCTTCTAATCCCCTTGACAGTGTCTTTCTCAGAGCAGAAGTTTTTAATTTTAACGAAGTCCAGCTTCTCAATAATTTCTTTCATGGACCACAGCTTTCATGTTGTATCTAAAAATCCTTCGCAATGCCCAAGGTCATCTGTATTTTCTCCTGTGTTATCTTCTGTGAGTTTTGTAGTTTTACTTTTTACACTTAGGTTTGTAAGCCATTTGGGGTTTATTTTTATGAAGGATGTAAGGTCTGTGTTGAGATTCTTTTCTTTTTTTTTTTGCACCTCAATGTCCAGATACTCCAGCACCCTTTGTGAAAAAGACTGTCTTTGCTCCATTGTATTACTGTTGCTCCTTTGTCAAATATCGGTTAATTTATATTTATGTGGATTTGTTCCTGAACTCTCTATTCTGTTCCACTGACCAGTTCCCCTATTCTTTTGTCAATCCCACACTTTCTCCTCTTTCTCTTCCTCCTCCTCCTTCTTTCTTCTTATTCTTCTTCTTTTTTTTTAAGGTCAGAAATTTATATATTAGTTTAATCTTGGTGCTTTTCTTTTTTTTAATTGCATTTTAGGTTTTGGGGTACATGTGAAGAACATGCAAGATAGTTGCATAGGTACACACATGACAGTGTGATTTGCTGCCTTCCTCCCCATCACCTATATCTGTCATTTCTCCCCATGCTATCTCTCTCCAACTCCCCATCCCCCGCTGTCCCTCCCCTATTTCCCCCCAACATACCCCAGTGTGTGATGCTCCCCTGCCTGTGTCCATGTGTTCTCATTGTTCAACACCCGCCTCTGAGTGAGAACATGCGGTATTCGATTTTCTGTTCTTGTGTAGGTTTGCTGAGAATGATGGTTTCCAGGTTCATCCATGTCCCTACAAAGGACACGAACTCATCATTTTTGAAGGCTGCATAGTATTCCATGGTGTATATATGCCACATTTTCCCTGTCCAGTCTATCATCAATGGGCATTTGGGTTGGTTCCAGGTCTTTGCTGTTGTAAACTGTGCTGCAATGAACATTCATGTGCATGTGTCCTTACAGTAGAATGATTTATAATCCTTTGGATATATACCCAGTAATGGGATTGCTGGGTCAAATGGAATTTCTATTTCTAGATCCTTGAGGAATCGCCACACTGTCTTCCACAATGGGTGAACTAATTTACACTCCCACCAACAGTGTAAAAATGTTCCTATTTCTCCACATCGTCTCCAGCATCAGTCGTTTCCAGATTTTTAATGATTGCCATTCTAACTGGCATGAGATGATATCTCAATGTAATTTTGATTTGCATTTCTCTAATGACCAGTGATGATGAGCATTTTTTTCATATGTTTGTTGGCCTCATATATGTCTTCTTTTGTAAAGTGTCTGTTCATATCCTTCGCCCACTTTTGAATGGGCTTGTTTGTTTTTTTCCTGTAAATCTGTTTTAGTTCTTTGTAAATTCTGGATATCAGGCCTTTGTCAGATGGATAGACTGCAAAAATTTTTGCCCATTCTGTTGGTTGCCGATTCACTCTAATGACTGTTTCTTTTGCCGTGCCGAAGCTGTGGAGTTTGATTAGGTCCCATTTGTCTATTTTGGCTTTTGTTGCCAATGCTTTTGGTGTTTTGGTCATGAAGTCCTTGCCTATGCCTATGTCCTGAATGGTTTTGCCTAGATTTTCTTCTAGGGTTTTTATGGTGTTAGGTCTTATGTTTAAGTCTTTAATCCATTTGGAGTTAATTTTAGTGTAAGATGTCAGGAAGGTGTCCAGTTTCTGC